CTGTGGTGGAGGGGAAATTGTTGTTTTTCATTTTGAAACTAATATGATTGATGAGGTAATTGAGGTGTTAGGATTATTATTAAATATTATTATTAAAATATTAAATTCCATAGACTATCATAGGCTTGGATTTATTAAAAATATTTTTTTCTAAGCGCTATCATAGGCGCGGTGTTCGAAATAAATGCAGCGGACATTAATTCTACAAATTTCTTTTCTTTAACGTTTTGCAAATATCTGCAATCAGTTCTTTAGGGTATCATTACAACTTCAACTTGCATTGCTTTCTTTCATTTGTCCGATTTTCCGCAATTCATGGCTTATTCGGGTTTTTGAGGTACAAATTCTATTCCATCAGATAATCCACTCACTCACCACATTGAAATGCTTCATAGGGCTTCCTCTATTTCCATCTCGAATTATCCTTGGTCTTCCACGACCTATTCTCTGATCTCCTCGATTCACAATTCCTTCTAAATTATTATTTTCCTCATCAATTTGTTGAATTGTTACCTCGTTTTCTTCTGTACTCACACTATTCTCTTCGGCGGTGGATCAAATTTCGCGTTCTTTCCTTTATTCAAAGCTACAGCACATGCACCAAATACTTCGTAAGGAATTTTTTCACATATAACCTTTGTTGGAGATCGATTCCGCAAATACACCACAGTTAAAACAGCTTCTGCCCACAGATTTTGAGGAAGATTTGCATGGAACAACATGGAACTTGCCATCTCCACAATAGTACGATTAGCACTTTCTGCTACTCCATTTTGTTTTGGGGTATAAGCCACCGTGAGTTGCCGTACTATTCCCTGATCTTGTAGATATGAATCAAGCTGATTGTTTATATACTCATCTCCAATCATACAATGAATAGCCAATCATTATATATCGCTTTCCCTTAGGATCAAATTTCGCGATCCTTCCCTTATTCAAAGCTACAACACATGCACCAAATACTTTGAGATGACTAACCTTTGGCTTTCTTCCAAACCACACTTCGTAAGGAATTTTCTCACATATAACCTATGTTGGAGATCGTTTCCGCAAATACACCAAACAGCTTAAAACAGCTTCTGCCCACAGATTTTGAGGGAGATTTGCATGGATCAACATCTCCACAATAGTACGATTAGCTCTTTCTGCTATTCCATTTTGTTAAGGAGTATAGGTCACCGTGAGTTGAGGTACTATTCCCTGATCTTGTAGATATGAATCAAACTGATTGTTTATATACTCACGTCCATTATCACTCCGTAGGATCTTAATTTTCTTTCCAGTTTGGCGTTCGACTTGTTGCTTAAATACCTTGAACTTTTTAAAAACTTCACTCTTAGTTTTCATAAAATACACAAAAGGTCTTCGATTTTGTTTGTGAGATATTTTGAGAGGAAAAACAGGGGGGTTACTCTGTATTGCGATGCGTGAGAAAAATTGTAACGCATCGCGTAATTGGTACTCTCTAATTCGTTTTCGTATCTCCTTTCGCATCTACTTTACGCAAATGTGGCATCACCGCACTCTGTAATACGAAAACGCATGTCAAACTCGTTCGTTAAGCGCAAATATCTTGCGTTAACAAAATAGCAAACGCAAAGGAAGCGAAACATATAAGTAAGCTCAATTAAAGGTTTTATTTATATATAAATTGTAAATTATTTTAAGTAAAAGGCAAAAAAGTCACAGTGGCAGACTCAGCAACGTCAGTTCCTAACTTCAGTAGATTTTATGGGGCAACACAGTGATTTGGGAAAGGGACAGTTGCAGAGTTCAAATTCGAAACAACGCGCCAACAATTTGTGGACAAAACTGTCTGATGGCCTCAGTTCAAATTGACCTCCTGTAAAAGATGTCGATTGTTGGAAAAAGTAATGTATTATATTTTTATATAATATGTGAAACTATGTGTGCATATTTACAGGTTGGTGTTGATAACCACCTTGTCCAAGCAATTTCAAAGCAGCGGCCTCTTTTATTGGAGTTGGAATTGTTGTGGATCTATTTGGAAAGACGAGCGTTTAATAAATACATAAACGAATCTTTATTGAGACGAACATGTTGTATAAATCTATAAAAATTAAATATTTGAAAACGTTTGTCACATAATTCGTACTTCAATTTTAATACCCGTGGTCACTTAGGGAGATTATTTGATCGATCTCATAAAATTCTTTTTTTGTTTTTAATTCGTTCATCATTTTTGTTTCAAAAAATACTCGTACCACACAAAAAATATTTTTTTATTTAAATTTTTTTGACGTTTCCTTTTGTCATTCTTCGTTGTTGTTTACTTTGTGGCGACAGTGTTGCCCTATTTTCGATTTAGTTTGCGAATGCGTGTGCGCGAGCGTTACAGAGTACCAAATTGTACTTTTAACGCATTTAGCTTTCGCATCGCACTTGCTTTCGCAACGCAATACAGAGTAACCCCCAGAAATTGAAGTTTCTTATGATACCTACGTTTTCTTCTTTCTCCCTTTAATTCCGCGCGGATTCTTTTACGATTGCGGGAAAGGGAGAAAAAAGAAATTCCGCACGGAATTATTTTTGACAATTGGGCTGTATATATTTTTTTAATTCAAGCTCATGTTAATCTTCAAAAAAAATATAGAGCATTCCAAGGCCTAAAGGCGTGGATTTTTAAATGAATTTTTTTATAAAGCTCTACAAGGCCTTAAGGTGTGGATTTTTAAAAGAATTTTTATAGAGCTCTACAAGGCCTTAAGGCGTGGATTTTTAAAAGAATTTTTATGCAGCTCTACAAGGCCTTAAGGCGTGGATTTTTAAAATAATTTTTATGCAGCTCTACAAGACCCTAAGGCGTGGATTTTTAAAAGAATTTTTATGCAGCTTTACAAGGCCTTAAGGCGTGGATTTTTAAAATAATTTTTATAGAGCTTTACAAGGCCTTAAGGCGTGGATTTTTAAAAGAATTTTTATAGAGCTCTACAAGGCCTTAATGCGTGGATTTTTAAAAGAATTTTTATGCAGCTCTACAAGGCCTTAAGGCGTGGATTTTTTAAAGAATTTTTATAGAGCTCGACAAGGCCTTAAGGTGTGGATTTTTAAAAGAATTTTTATAGAGCTCTACAAGGCCTTAAGGCGTGGAAAAAATCCACATTTCTAATTTATTTATGAAACGTGGTCCATTCTGCGGTAATTTTTTCTTTTCATTTTACTTCGTTTTCGGGAAGTATTTTTTCTTTTTATTTCATTCTACTTTTTGTGTGTGTTTCTGAATCAGTTTTTTTTCTTTTTATTTCATTTTACTCCTCTCCAAAAAGGGTCCAACAATTTGTTGAAAGTCTTCCAGTGTTTAATTTTGTTGTTGCCAATTTTTTCTTTTTATTTCATTTTACTCCTTTTTGGTGATGTTGTTGATTCAATTTCTTTCAAGACTTTCCAGTAGCTGCAAAAGAAACGCCCCTTTTTTAAGTAAGGTAAAAGTAATTGAAAATAAAATATTTTGAACATGCCTCAAAATCTCAAACTTCAGGCACACCTTTCACTGGTAAGTGTAAATTGAATTTGCCAACTAAAATGAAAGGAGAAAAGATAATTTTTTTTTTAAATTTCAATTAAAGATAAAATTAATTTTTGAAATAATTACTTACCTTCAATGTTTTTTATGTGCTCTTGAGTTTATCGTTTATCTTGATTTTAAGAATTACCTTACCATTAAATTGCCTTCTTTTGTTTTCAAATAAATAAAAAAATGAGGTTAAGGTCATCCATCCATCTTAGTTTTGGGAGGGGAAATACTAATTGTTTTTGCTTGTTGGTTGTTGATCAAGAAAGATTTTTTTATATAGATTAAAGTTCAATTTTGTTTTTTAGTTTAAGGCATAATTGTGTCTTAATTGTTAAATTGTACATTAAATGCGTTATCTTTTTTTGTTTATTATTATTTACTTACATTGTACATAAATATATATAGAAATTGTTTTATAAATATACACAATACATATGTTATTTTAGTTGTTTTTGTTAATATATATATATAATTATGTATAAATTGTAATATTATTGTTTTACGGTCTTTCATTTTTATTATTATTATTTTTGTGATTTAAATTAATTTTTATACAAATTTTGTATTAAATTCTCCTCATTTTTTTTGTATTATTTTTTTATAAATATTATTGATTAGTTATTGTAGTATTTGTATTATTTAAATATTTCACAAATATTTAAATTTCTTTTAAGTAGAGTAGTAAATGGAATTTGATTTTTGTTTTAAAAAGTATAAATAAAAATTTGAAAAAAAATGGAATTAAAATTAGTTATTTAAATTATTTTAAGATAATTTGATTTTTCCTAGAAATTTAAAAAAAGGAAATTGAAAAAAAAGAAATTAAAATTAGTTTTTTTTAAATTATTTTAAGATAATTTGATTTTTCCTTTTTTGTTGTTGTGGGTTTGATTTAATTTCAGTTTGTTGTTGTCTATATATTTAACGATCTTTTTAAATGTGTTATTATCTCAAGTATCACAACATTATATATTTCAGGAAAAAAACACGGAAACTAAAACATCTAGACTACAAAGTGATTAAAACAACAAACAATATATAGATATGACAATTAAGTGGACTTACACATTTAAATATTTTGTTTACAAGTTAAGGAACCAAACACTAACAAAATTAAATGCCTTTTTTTAAAGAGAGTGTGAGAGTTGTTAATATTTATAAATATATATAAAGGTCTTAGGAAATATATATAGGCTGGGGAGGTTGTAGGTTTCATTTTTTTTTTTTTTTTTTGTAAAAATTTCTTCAAAATCTTATTCTTGTTGAGCTTATGTTTGTTGTGTCGAATACATATTTTGTTGTGTAAATATTTTGTTGTTGTTGTTTTTAAATATTGCTTGTATCAACCATTTCCAAAAAAACTACCATTCCCTTTTTCATTTTTTATGGTAGTCTTTTTTTATAGAAATTTTGGTCCTGTAACAATGGCTGGATATTTAGCTTATCTTCTTCTTGATTTTTAATTATTCTATTTATATATCATTAACTAGGTGGCCTTCGATTAACGACGATTGATGATATCTTCGCCTCTGGGAAAAGTCTTCATTGTCTTCGTTCATTTGGGTGGGTGATAGATCCACCCCCGGGCAGGAGGGTGTAACCACAATTTGTTCATATTCATGCATGCGTTTGCTGGGAATAAAAAAATACAAATTTTATAAAAAATTTCAAAACAAAAAATTAACATTTTTTAGAATTATATAAAAAAAAATTATAAAAATATCCCCCCTTACCCAAAGCATCGGAATATAACACTTTTCAGCCAGGCAAAGAAATTGAATTCAGCCGTGAGTCCGGGTTTTACGGCCGGATTGGCTGTGCCCACATAAAACCAAACCACAAAGACCACCAGGAAACAGGTTAGGGCATAATACCAGTTAACCAGCAACATGACCAACAACTTGGTAAAGGCCTGAAGAAGAAAGAAAAACAAAAATTAAAATTTATTTTTTTTTTAACACCTCCCTCCCTTTCCCACTTACCCCCAACAGCGAAGCCCAACGATTACAATAACCCGAATACCAATTTTTAGTTTTCGAATGGATGGGCGGTCTAATCGGTGCAATTGGCTCCTCATCTTCATTGTCCAAAGTGGTGACAGCCTCTAGATTACCATCGGCATTTGTACTATTTATGGCCTCTTGGAAAACGGGTGTTGAGGCCGATGTTGAGGCGGCATCCACATTATTTAGACCACCATTTTGTTGGTGTTGTTGTTGTTGTTGCATTTCTAAATTATTACTATTATTCGTTGTTGAAGGCACATGTAGCGGTGAATTTTGTGGACTTTGTAAATTTTTATGACGCACCCGATCAGGGAATAATAAATCTAAATCATTATCATCTTGGGTGGCCCCGTAACGCCGCGTTTCATATGAAGGCGAGGAAGCCTGTATACGAAAACGCTCCTCTCGTTGTTCTTGTATATCGAAGGTTTGAGCCAAGGCGAAATATGAATAATCAATACAGGCATAGGTAAGCAGGAAGGGCATTGTCACAATGGGTGCCAAGAAATTAATGTCACCCACAATAATAAAGGAGACCGTGACCACGGCCACCACACCCATGGCATAGAGGGGGACTTTGTTGGGACCACGCTATTAAATAAAAAAAAATTATTAGAAAAAATCTTCAAAAAAATGACCTCAAAAAAATCCTCACCCCCTTTGCCAAAATATCAATGCCGGGGATAACACTCTCCTTAGCAATGGATTGCAGGACTCGAGGAGTACCATACATGGCACCCAAACACGAGGACATACTGGAAACATAAATACCAGCCAATAATAGAAATTGCACTGCCGATACCTTAACGGAAATCATGAAATCGGTTAGCAAAGTTGCACGTTGGCAGGTGGCTCCAAGGAATAAAATGAAGACGGTGTAGAGGAAGGTGCTAAAAAGGCGATTTGTTTTATTAAAGTTTTCAAAAATTAAAAAGAACTACTTACGAGGTACCAAAAGCCGCCAAGGTACCATTGGGTATGTCCGTGGAGGGTGCTCTCAAATCACCGCTCATATTAATGCCAGACAATACACCAGTAACCGTGGGAAAGAATACACCAAATACTCTAAACCATGAATAGCCATCCTCATACTTCGGCCAAAGATTCTCAACAAAGTTGCTGCTGACCCAGCCATCGAAACCGTTTTCTAAAATAGAAAAAAAATCTAATTAAAAAAAATCCATTAATTTTCTATTTAAAAAATTATACTCACGTGGATCCTCCCCAATGAAACTGCCCACCATGAAATCCAAGGCGGAAATCAAGAGAATCATCAACAATATAAATTGCAGTTTGATGACCCATTTAACCCCAGCCACATTGATGCACCCCAGTAGAATAACAGCAGCGGCAGCAAATCCACGTATAGCCCATTTATTGCCCTCCAGGCCAACCAATCCTGCCATAGATTCACCAAAACCCATGACATTTAGAGCACAGCCGACAGCCTGCCCGAAACAATATAGCAGACCCAATGAGCCACCAAATCGTGAACCCAATGTATGGGCTATTAGGAAATAAACACCACCACTTTCCACACGACATCTTTCACAAATGCCCACGGCGGACAAGACTGACACCAAGGCAATTACCACAGTGCAAAATATAATCAAGAGGGCATTTAAAATACCCGCCTGGGCCACAATCCAGCCGGAACGCAAGAAAACAATAACACCAAAGACATTAATCAAACAGGAGGTGAAGACACCATCCCAGGTGCCGAATAACACCGGTTGGGATATAAAGAAATTGGAACGCCACCTAAGGAAAAAATCGAGTTTTTAAGAAATAAAAAATGAATTTCGATTTGTATGTCTTGCTTACCATGGCTTATCACCCTGCACCTGGGCAAATATCTCATTTGCCCCAGAGGCCTGATGGCCTCCCGAGGCATATGTGTGTTCATTACCCAAATCCACAAATCCTCCCGTATTGGCGGCCCTTTGGCGAAAGTTTGCCACCACCACTTCACCATCATCGTCCGGACTTAAACCAAAACGATTCCAATCCACTTGTTGGGATCGACGATTGTTACCATTTCCAGCGGAGTTATTATTACTCATCTCCCACCAAATTGTATTGTTGTTATTGCTATTGTTGTTGTTATCGTTGTTTTCACTTTAAATTATATGACACCTTATCCAAACGAAGAAAAAACAAATGATTAGCTAGCGCTGCTTTGATATTTCTTCTTC